GGGTGGGCAGGTGTGGAGGGCCACGAACTATGTGTAAACAGGTGGGAAATGGAGAGCATGACAGACCTTGTTGGAGGGGAAGGTGATTGGGAAGAACTCCAGTGGCTTGGAGCCTGGATATTTTCGTGTCCAAGAATATCAGCCTGGGAGATGCAAAGGAGTTATGTTGCCCGTGAAACCCCAAGAGAGTGGTGTGTTGCTTTGCTGTGGGGTACACCAGAGCCTACCATGTGCTCACAGCAGGACTTCAAGAGGCACTGGGACAGCTTAGCAGAACTGGGGAATCTGGTTGACAGTCTCTGTCAGAGTGATGGTCTGGTAAAAGTGGTGTTAACTAGTGCTCAGCACAAAAGGGAGGATTCTGGTCAGAAGTTAGCAGCTAGTAGCACTGAAATGGTCAAATCGCAAGCTTCAGGCTGCTTGTGGGAGCACCTAAAGCTTAAATTGACTGACCTGGAGAGGGACCCTGACATTTTGAGAAGGGAAACTAGGGGCTTATGATGAATTAAAAAATGAGTCCTTTCAGGCAGCCTTAGTTACATTTTTTAATAATTTTTTACATAATTAAGGAGCCCTACAGAAAAGGGTACACTGCTCCCTAGACTCTGACCACTCAGTGGGTCTTTAGTCTGAGGGTAAATGAATAGAGAAGTGTGGAGAAACTTACAGTCACTGCTCTGCAGTGGCTATGGCATTGCTGGGACACCAGAGTAGATGAGATACAGCTGAAAGCTTGAAACAGCAGGTCTTTAGGGAGTTTGGGCATAAGACACTTGTAAACACTGTCCTGAACAATGTAGGAGGGCTTTGGGATCAGTTTATGAAAAGATATGTTGAGCGGTGCCTAATTGTGCTGATCCTACAAACAAAATACCCCTTTGAAAGGACCGAGAAGAAGGGGGTAATCAACTGCAGTTTCCTGGGCTGCTGGAGTGTGGTTACAGGCAAAGGGAGAGGAACCCTGAAAAGCTTGTGATCACTAATGCTAAGGCTTGAAATCACGAATGGCTAGGCACAGTTACTACACAGTTACAGTGGTACCCTCTGGTACCACCTGGTGGGATGCCCTGTTGATCAAGGAGTGACCTATGTATACCATTCTGGAGCGAGGATGCCAGAAAAAGAGTGCAAGCTAACAGCACGGATAAGGATAATACCGAGGATCCAGCAGTATGGTCAACCTCAGGAAAAACATGAAGGGAGAATGAGAATTCTGCATGTCCCCCTCCTACACAGTGGGACTTTAGGATATATCTGAAAGAATAGGGAGACAATATGAGACACTGGGAGGAAAAGCCCTTCATAGACCTAGCATTATAAGCACAGGAGAGAGGTGAGAGCTTATTTAAACCATTCCCTTCTGGTACCCCCACTTCTGGACCATATACTGCTCTGACAACTGATCAGGGGGTTCTCCCCTGGCCTGGCAGTGAATGAAGCTAACCAAATTTATTAGACTGTCCAGACAAGGCGGCCAGGCACCCTCGCCTTAACGATGTTGTGCCTTTGTGGATACCTAATGATAGCGGCACCCAGTGCACCTTATTGTCCTCTCTGTGTAGCAGTGATAAACAAATAGTTCTTGGAGTAACTGAAGGAGAAACATGCCCAGCTGTGGAAGAAGGGAACCTAAGCTTGAATAGATGGGTTTGGTACACCTTACTTGTTGCTACTGGCCCTACTGCCCCTGTCATCCTTGTCATTGACTTTCTTGACCACTGGAGATGGATGGATGGGACAGGAAGTCTTTGGGTTTTTTGGAACAATACTGCATCCAGCTCTGGAACCCTCAGCACAAGAAAGACATGGACCTGTTGGAGCGGATCCAGAGGAGGGCCACGAAAATGATCAGATGGATGGAATGCCTCTCCTATGAAGAAAGGCTGAGAGAGTTGGGGTTATTCAGCCTGGAGAAGAGAACACTTCCGGGAGACCTTACTGCAGCCTTTCAGTATTTAAAGGGGGCTTATAAGAAAGACGGCGACAAACTTTTTAGCAGGGCCTGTTTAGCAGGGGGAATGGTTTTAAACTAGAAGAGGGTAGATTTAGACTAGATATAAGGAAGACATTTTTTACAATGAGGTGGGTGTTCCAACACTGGAACAGGTTGCCCAGAGAGGTGGTAGATGCCTCATCCCTGGAAACATTCAAGGTCAGGTTGGACAGGGCTCTGAGCAACCTGATCTAGTTGAAGATGTCCCTGCCCACGGCAGGGGGGTTGGACTAGATGACCTTTAAAGGTCCCTTCTGACCCAAACTATTCTATGATTCTATGTTTCTATGATACCTCTCTCAGTGCTGGATTTGCCATTAATCACTCCAAAGTAAAAAGCCACCCCCCAAGAAATACAGGTTTTAGGCATGCAAAATGGATGGAGATATATGCCAGCTGACCAAATTGCTTGGATAAACACCACGGCCCTCCACGCAATAAACAAGAACCTAGACCTTCTTGGGCATTACTGGATTTTGATGTACACACATCCCTCGTTAGAGCCAATTGACAAAACCCATATATCAGTGACCTGAAATAAGCCTCATTTTGAGTGGGAAGAGGAACACCAGCAAGCTTTGGAGCTGATCAGCTCCAAAGAAGATAGTCCATGCCATGGCATTAGGACCAATATAGGTAGGTAGCAATATTACAAAATTGTTATATACACATGCAGAAAAGAAAAGCATCAAATGGAGTTTGTTGCAATGAGCATCTCAAGAGATAAGAGACACTGTTGGAACTCTGGAGTCAGAGCCACAAAGGAGCAGAAAATAACTACTCCCCTCTAGAACAAGAAGTCCTAGCTGCATATGCAGATCGTGTCTGAGTGCCACTGAAGTGGGTGCAGAGTAGTCACTGTGGTTATGCCCTAGATTAGCTGTCCTGAATTTTAGGTTCAAGGACTCAAAACTACTGAGGGAAGAGCAACCACAACTACATGCCAAAAATGGCTACTGGCCCTTTGCCAATCTGCACATATTGGTTCAAGCTCCGGACCAGGATTAGTTGAATTTACTAAGTCAATGGCCAGCAAATCAATAGTATGAGGAAGACCAAACATCTTTGGCTGTCGAAACCCTAGCATATACTGAAAATAAACAACAGAGTTTGTTCACTGATGGATCCTGTAAAAGCACAGCAGGAAACAGGAGATGGAAATCCTTGGAACCCCTCTACAGGAGAAGCTGCCATCTGGAAGAAGACTTGAAGAAATTTGAAAGGCCTTGAAAATAGCCTTGGAACATACTCGGGAGCATCAACACACCCACGTATACAGAATCCTGGATGGTGAATAATGTGGTAAGGAAATTGCTTAAAGAATGAAATCATGATAACTGGCAGCAGTGAGGAAAACCATTTTGAGCAGAAGCATGGAAAGTGGTACAACAGCTGCTTGAAGAAAAACCTGCTTAGTATGTCATGCTAATAATGCATATATCCCAAATTCAAAGGTAACTCAAGAACAGAAACACAGCAACCAAGCTGACCAGCTGGCTCAACCTGTCAGTAGAGATTTGGGATGGGACCATAAAAGAAAACTATTTTTAGATAGATGAGCCTATGAAACTGCTGAGCATGCTGCAAGGGATCGAGGACAGGCCGCTTAGGCTTGTCTTGGGAAGATATAATGCAAGCAATTAGGTAGCACGATGTCTGTGGAATAACACAACATACAGCATGAATGATGAAGCAGTATGCATAGTGAGAGAAATGAATGTTTGGAGATGCCTGGCAAATGGATTATATAGACCAATCCCTTCCTCCCCAGCACCACTGACAGATGCAATATTCTCATAGTGGTAGAGCATCACAAGGGTGGCTAGAAGCCTTCCCCACTCAGACAGCAAACACACGTTGCACCCTAGAAGGAATAAAAAAACATATCTGTGGGCACCATGAAAAGCCACTTAGGCAGGAATCAGACAACGTAAGTCATTACAAAAATACAACCATTCAAGAATGAGTAGAGCAGGTACATCGCCAGACAGCTGGAAAAACAAAGCTGTGCAATGGTTTACTTAAACCCGTGCTAAAAACACTAGGGAAAGGGTCTATCAGGGAATGTATGACATCCTCACATTCCTCACCTCCAGGAAGCTGCATGGCTAGCTAACCTACAGCTAGGAAATTGTCATAGAAGCCCAAAAGAAAACCAGAGCTCAATTGTGTGATCCTCCAGCCAGCCCTGAGGATGAAATCCCTAAAAAAGCAGTCTCTGTTGTTTGAAGAGCAGAGTTACTTGGTCTTTGGAAAAAGAACGATGATATGTGTGCCTTTACATAAATAGAAGAGAGTAATCTTACTTTACCTCATAAACTATATTCTTGTTCATGTGTTTTGCAGGGACAAGGTCTGAATTTTGTAATAAATATATGTTGAGATTAATATGATGTTAAGTCCTCTAATGTGATTCCTAGAATGAGAGGTAGCGTTTTATTGACTATATGTGCACATTGTTACAATGTCAATACCTGTTGTCTGGGACTAAAGGTAGAGTTTATAATGCATGTATTTTATGATTATGATGATGGTAAAGTAGAGTTAATAATGGCTGCATGTTCAAACACTTCTTAAATAGGTGTTTCACAGAGGCGAGGGGTTTAATGTATTGGCTATAACTGGCAGGGTTTCATTCACCAGAGGCTGCAGGGGTGCCCTGTGCTTCTGCAGGGGAGCCATTCCAGCTGGCTCTGAAATTATTGTGAACAAGTCATTGCATGCCAAAACTTCAACAAATCAGAGGAGCACATGGCACCTATGCTTCAACATACCAAAGAAATATGCCTGCAACTGTGGGTGTGGCCATCGTTGTTATTTGTTTATGTAGATGCTGGTGAATGACAGCTAACCAGAGAGGATCACTGTACGATTTTTGGGTTTAAGTGTTTGTCACTTCTGGAGTGGTTTCCTCTGGCACTTTCTCATTCAGAGTGATGAACAGAATTGTTAGCAGATTCTGGATTTCACTTATCACAGCCAAGTTCCTAGCAGAATCAGGCCCCTCTAATTCCATTTTAATGTCTTCACTTCTAGAGTTCCTGGCTCTGAGGCTGGTGAATGGCAATGACTGTGCTGGGCGGCTAGAAGTTTTCTACAATGGGACATGGGGGAGCATTTGCTCCAATCGTATGTCTCAACTCACTGCAATAACTGTGTGCAAACACCTGAACTGCGGAGATGGTGGGGAAATCGCAAGAGACTTCGAATATGGCAGAGGTTCTGGGCCCACGTGGCTGGACCACATTGAGTGCACTGAGCAACATAGCTCTCTCTGGCAATGTCAGTCAGACCCCTGGGATCCTCAGTCATGTGATAACCGAGCAGAAGAGACTCATATTTCTTGCACGGGTAATTAGAAATGCATCTGTACACGACTCTCCAGACATACACATAAACCTATGCATGCATATATGGACACTGTAGTAATAACCTCATGTTTGTTTGTTTTCTGCTATATATTATTTCTAGTTTCATGCAAATGGCACAAACATTTTTCTTTGTCTATATCCCTGATGTAAATGAATGTTGCCAAGTGCAGTTACACAGTGGAAATCCCAGGGAAGTCCCTGATACAATGGTGCCATTGCATACTTTTAAAGCAAAAATCTATGATACACAGTCAGTCTGTGAGATCTGAATTAGGATCAGACTTCTCAAGAAGTCTAGAGGCATGCATGTGTTTCTACATGTATGGAGGCATATCAGTGCATATGTACATGTACGCAGGTGCATGCACATAGCCATGGACAAGTGTATGAATTCTTCAGTTCTAAAGGTCTGTTTCTAATGCCTGCTCTTATGACAGTATTTCATACCGGTGGGTTTCCACTATAATATAAATTAATTCTAGATGGCATTCAGATCTCCTGAAAGGGATTGCATCTGCCTCACACATGAAGAAAGAAAGCACAGACATCAGGAAGATATTTAATTCACAGCAATAGCCAAACAATGATCCACCAAGTACTAAATAGGCCATATATATATAGTATAGGAAAAAAATAACTTGATGATTAATTTTATACTCCCTCACTCTTTTCAGAGAATAATCAGATTATTTACTTCAGTATTTAAATTCTGCAGGAAGAAAAGAGGCAACGTCTCCAGCCACATTTACTGAGTGTCCAAACTCTACAAGTTGTTCAGGTACCTCTACCTCTTTGTTTCTCCTTATTGGTCCCTATGGGCCTTCCTGCTGTTTCAGCGATACAGAAAGTTTCTGTGTTTTGCAGACAGGGAGAAGCTACGAGTCATAGGAGGAAAGGATGGATGTTCAGGCAGAGTGGAAATTTGGCACCAAGGTTCTTGGGGAACAGTCTGTGATGATTCCTGGGATGTGGCAGATGCTAATGTTGTATGCAGGCAGCTGGGTTGTGGATCTGCTGTGTCTGCTCTGAGTGAAGCTGCGTTTGGGGAAGGGACTGGTCCCATCTGGTTGGAGAAGGTGCACTGTAAAGGAACAGAGCTGTCTCTTTGGGACTGTCCTGCCAAGCCCCTGTGTGGCAAAAACTGTGATCATAAGGAAGATGCTGCTGTGGATTGCTCTGGTTAGTGACTGGTTCTTTGGTTCATTACACAGATCTGGGAAGGAGGTGGATAAAGGAATATTATGTCAGCCGCACATCCCAGTGACTAGCCCCTTCATAATTTTGATTGCAAGAACCTCACAAATGATATGAAGATGTTCTCACTATTTTTCACACTTGCCTTTTCCTTAATCTGGACTCGCCTTCCTTTCGCAGGTGTGACAGAAACAACAGCATCGCCCACTAGAGCAGGTAAAACATTCCTTCTTCCCCCTTTCTTTCTCCCATCAAATGAGGATTTAATGTCCCTGATACTGCATAGCAGGTAAATCAGCAGCATATTCCAGCTCATCAGAAAGCATCTCCTGCAGCCTTTTGTAAAGGAGAGCCAAGTGGCGCTATCCCCAGCTGCTGAATTCTAGCTGCTTGAGCAGGACTCACAACTGGGCAGCAGGTGACCTGCCTCACCCTGCTAGCACAGGCACAGCAGGAGGCTACAGAGGAGCAGCCCTTTGGGTCTCCTGATTCTCTGCCTGTTGCTTCTTCATTTCCATTCAGATTCTCCCCGTCGCCCTGCAACAGACAACACGAGAATTTCAATGCCTGTCATCCTCTGCATTATCCTGGGGGCTCTTCTCTGCCTGGTCCTTGCCATTCTTGCTGGACAGATCCGACGTGCCAGGGCACAGCAGAGAGGTGGGTCCCTCAGAACTGGTACGAAATGCCTCCTTGACATGGCTGACGAATGTTTAGTTGGCTGAGGAGGCTGGGGGGATGGGTGACTGAGATGAATGGCATCTGCTGCCACAAGGATGAGATTTTCACTTACCGTCTGGCAGTGAATGAGCCCAGCAGTGTTTATCCTCAGTCGGCACCTCTCGGTGACTTTCTGGGTACCAACCAGGCCATGTAGACCCCGTTAGCTCACTTCTCCTTTTCATGAACCCAGCCTGTGTATGAGCAGAGACTGTGTGAGTGATCATTGCCTTTTACTTTCAGGCTCCAGACTATCCTATGACCCCTTCTCTGAGGCAGTCTATGAAGAGATCGACTATAACCTGATGAGGGAAAAGCAGGGCATGACTGGCTTCTCAGGTCTGTGTGTCTTGCTCTTGTCAAGGGAAAATTCCTCCTGGTGGCCCAGATCCCAATCTGATACTTTGCAGCTCCCAAATCTACTGGTAAACTGAAAATTCCTAGGTTTGAGGAGAGGCTTTTCCAGCCCACTGGACTGCCAGTTCCTCTCCTAGGGACAATTCATTTTGTGCTGTCCTCACTGCAGCCATAGAGCATAGATCAGTATAGGTCAAACAAACAAACAAACAAAACCCAGGAAAAAAAAAAACAACAAACAAAAAAAAGGCTTTCGCTGCAATTATTTAAAGCAGGAACAAATAAAGGAATCATTTGTATCTCCCTCCCAGTAGCTATGTGTCTCTGTAGGCTTCCTCCTGTTGACTGCTTTTTCCCTTTGTGGCTTGCCCCCCCCACGAGCCACGAGAGGTGTTATGGGGCCCCTGAGGGATTCCACTGTAAGCCCTTTACTTTGCAGGAGTAATACTGACTGCCCAAGAATCTGCTTGACTTGGGTGTTATTACTGTAGCCTACTCTTTTTCTCATGATGCAGTCTCAGCAGCTAAGGAGAGTTTAATCTGATATCACACTCTT